CGCACGGGTCGTTTGATTGGTGTTTGTCAATCAGTTGACAACTGTCGATTATTTGTTGGTGGAATTCCAAAAATGAAAAAACGTGAAGAAATTCTCGATGAAATGTGTAAAATTACCGAAGGTGTTGTCGATGTCATTGTTTATCCAAGTGCACATGATAAAACAAAGAATCGCGGTTTTGCTTTCGTTGAATACGAAAGTCATCGATCAGCGGCAATGGCGAGACGAAAATTATTACCGGGAAAGATTCAACTTTGGGGCCATCAGATCGCGGTCGATTGGGCAGAACCAGAAACAGAAGTCGATGAAGATATTATGGCTACGGTGAGGGAAAATGAGAGATTTAAGATTAGAAATTGGAAAGTTTGTTTTAGGTTCGAGTACTTTATGTGAGAAATTTAATGATGAGTACGACGGAAGAACAAATTCGAGAAATTTTTGAACGATTTAAACCGAATTCAATCGAACGAGTGAAGAAACTGAAAGATTATGCATTTGTGCACTTTAAAGAACGAGATGATGCATTGCATGCAATGAATATGATGAATAGTAAGGAAAATGTTCGAATCGTATTCTAAAATATTGATTTTATTCGTTTTCTTAGATCGAGAAATCGATGGATCGATTATTGAAGTCACTTTAGCGAAACCAGTGGATAAAAATCAATATTTTCGATTTACACGTGCTGTTAGTCCATCAACAATCACTACAACACCTTTATCTGTAAACTTTTCTCTTAAAAATCTCTCAATTGATCCTGATTTTATTTATAGTTTACTTTACCAAATGGTACACTCACTCCAACAACACCAACATTTGATTTATCTACTATTCCATACTTAACCATTCCAACAAATTCAATAGTTACCAATGGAACCACAATCATTCCACCATCTCCTGCAAATAAGTAAGAAGAAAAATTCTTTTCAAAACCAAATTAATATTTTGTTTAGGAATATTCATCGAACTGGTAATCCAAGTCCTCCATTATTAACTCGTCCAAGTCCAACAAATGTTCTGTCATGTACATCGCATTCATCAACAAATCTTGTTCATCATCGTGGTGCTTATTATACAATTCTTCGACCGACATCACGTCGAACTGAAGTATGTTGAATTTGCACATTAAAATTGCATGAAGATTTTCCATTTGATTCGAAATTGCTCAGCATGGCTCGAGAAAAATATATTTGTTTTTTATAATTTTTGTTTTGTTGTAATTTTTATCCTAGGAGAAATGTCTCGAAGATCTTTATAAAGAGACATATAATGTTTTGTACGGCTCTGCTAGTCCATCGCTAATGATGATCGATACCAATCAGTCTCAGTTGATTGCACCAGAACAGCAAATTCTTCATTCGAATGCGAATCAGCCCGAAGAGGTAATTTTCTCCGGGTCTTTTGTGTTTGTTTTGTCTTGAATCATGACACAAAAAGATCAAAAACAAATTATGTATTCGACAGCGATATACGAGGAGTAAGGAGACCATCTTCCTTTGTCGCTTCTTCTGAGAAAAATCTCTCGACATGATTGGATAACATCATTGATCAATTATTTGCTTTTTTGCCAATCTCATTTCGAAAGATTCGATTGAATTTTGCATGTTGATTATTTCTTTCGTTTATTTTCTTATTTGTCACATTGATTTAATCTTCATAGATTCCATTTCCATCGAATCCAACATTTGGTTTTCATCCAGCTGGTCCAATATTTCATCCAGCAACAATTTATCCTCATCCATTACTTCCTACTCATCCTCTAGGTAATCCATCATTTGCTCAACAACCAATTTTCCTAACAACATCTGGTCAAACTCAACAATATTTTCCTGGTCATCCTCCAGCTAATATTTCTTTTCCATTTCTTTTCACTACACCCACAATGGATTCACCCGTGTTGACTTATGCAACTCCAACATCTACAACTAACACGGTTACAACTACGGGTGGTACTACTTATTCAGCTTGATAAACATCATCGGATATTTACATTGCATTAGTCTTTGTTTTGTTGTTTTCGACGAGAATGAGAGTGATAGAGAGAGAGAGAGAAAGATAATATGAATATCTATGTGTGTATTTCATCTATTATTTATGTTTGTTGTTTTCTTTTTTTTCTTCTCTTTTTCTTTTGTTTGTTTGTTTTTTTTTTCTTCCTCTTTCCTACTCTTTCTGCGTCATTATTTCTCTTAAAAACGTTGTTTTCTTTCTTTTCACCCGGTTGAATCTTGACCGTGGTTGATGGTTTGAGCAGTTTTCTTTTATTCTACATGTGTATACAGATGGATATGTGCAAAAAAATATATAAATATCTATGCTTGGCATGAAAGAAAATACACTTTCGTTCACCATTAAAAATTCAATAAGATGACAATTAGAAAAGAACTTTCTCTCCTCGGACAATGTTGATTACATTTGACAGATGCGAATTACACGAACAACTGTTCGATTGTTTTGACAAATTTTTATTGAACAAATTGTAAGAATTTCCAAGAGGAATTGATGATGTCGGGAGACAAGAGAGAAAGTATCGATGTCTTAGAAAAGATAAATGAATATAATTATAAAGATGAATGATCAGATGATTTGAGGAAGGAAAACTGACAAGGAGTATATTGGATTTCGATGAGTAATTAATATAATCTAAAAGAAGAATCATATGTAGTCAATTTTCGAATGATTTTCTTTTCTCTAACGAGAAGAATGTGGTCGGGTAAAGAAAAACCACCATCATCGATGTTGTCTAATCACAATCACAATAATAATATCTTTCGTCATCCGGTAGTCAAAGAAGAACCAAGGTCTTCTTCCTTTCTATTCTTATTTTGCTGTTTTGTACATAGTTCGATATCATTACGCTTCTTTTACATATGCATGAGAAAGGAAAAGAAAAGGAGAAGGAGGAAGCAGAAGATATTTTCCTCGTATTTTTTGGAATTATTTGCCTTTTTTGTACGAATGCTTGTTTTTTGTCTCTATTCTTAGCGATGAGAGAGAAAGAAAAGAAGGAAGAAAGAGAGAAGATTCTCTGGAAAAGACACATACAAACACAGCGGCAATAACAACTGATGAATTTCTTCGTCAATGCATTTTACAAAGAATTTTTTTTTCTCTTCTAGACAAAATGAATGTGACACCAGGTCTTGGTTCTTTTAATAAAGATAAAGTGGCGAATAAATTTGGGATTCAATTGAAGGGAAAAGACGGATCGAAACAGGCAGATCAGTCCGTTGGAATGACATTAGGCACAAAAAACAAAACTGTCAGTGATTTTCGTTTTCAAAATGACTCAAACGGCCTGAAATCCAATTCCAATTCAACAACATTACAATCACGAAAGATTTCCTTAGAACCAACACCGAAAAGTCAATCAAGTATTGCCCTACTTTCAACATCAACATTTAACGAACGACGAAATTCATTTAATTCGGATGTAAATCATTCCACAACTCTAAAACCAGTGAAGACAACTCCTTCAACAGAATCTCTTTTAAAATCTCCACCAAAGACTCGACGAACAAGTCAAACATCAATATCACCCGAACCATCTCTAATTAGACGAACAAGTGTAACCAATGTTATTGAACAACCAATATCAATAATCAAACGACGAAGTATCACGCCTATCTCACCAGAACCATCGCCAGTTCGACGAATAAGTATAACTAAACCTGCGGAACAATCTATTCCAACATCTTCATCTCCAAAACAAAATTCTCTTTCAAAAACCGAAGCAGAAATTGAACATCAAAAAGATCAACCTTTATACAAACGACAATTGACGAAAACGTTAGAAAACTCAACTTCAACATCGAACAAAACCAAACATCCATATGAATTATCCACAACATCATCAAGGTATGAAGAAAAATCTATTTTCAAAGGATTACCTTCAATATTCTTATATTTGAAAGGTAACACTACGAAAACGCATTTCTTTCGAACAGAAATTTGTTTCTCGCACCTCCTCTGTAAAGATATGTCCATTTGTCTGTCACCAACATACATAAAAAGGCATTTTCTCCTCCTGATACGTAATATGATCTATGGGAATATACTGCTGTTTTTCTTTTTCTTTTCTTTCGAAAGAGAANCTATTTTCAAAGGATTACCTTCAATATTCTTATATTTGAAAGGTAACACTACGAAAACGCATTTCTTTCGAACAGAAATTTGTTTCTCGCACCTCCTCTGTAAAGATATGTCCATTTGTCTGTCACCAACATACATAAAAAGGCATTTTCTCCTCCTGATACGTAATATGATCTATGGGAATATACTGCTGTTTTTCTTTTTCTTTTCTTTCGAAAGAGAAGAAGAAAAAGAAAGATTTTCTCTCGCTCGATCAAAAATGTAATAGAAGTTTGTTCAATTTACCGTCATGATTTTTTATAGGAAAACCTTGACCTTGGCGTATGAATTAAGCATAGTAATACGACCTTTATTGACGAGCAATCGAGCGCACACTTCGTACCTGTAATGACTCACCTGAGAGAGAAAATCAATGTTATAAACGAAATAAGAAACTAACGAAGGACATAGCCAGACATACTACACGAGACAACGAAACAAAATTGTTTATTTTCAGTTCATCGTTTTCAATTAAATCATTCGATTTTAATTCAACTTTTTCTTCTTGTTCTGTTCTGTTTTTGCAGAATATTCAAATCATTCAATTCTTCTGTTATCATTTTTTCTTCTTCTTCTCCTCTCTCTCTCTTTCTTTGCGTTCTTTTCATACGTTATGTACAACGGTTGATTTCTCCTTCGAATAACCGACGAATACTTTACTAAAAATGTGCACATGAGGTTAAGATTGACACACATAAATGCACGTGTGTAATATGTTACGTACTTCTTCTTTTTCTTCATCGTCTTTATTATTATTGTCGTCGCAGTTGATGATACCGATCAACATGGTGAGGTGTTCGTTGGTGTAATAATTTTTTGCTGTTCTGTAGTTGAACATAAAAAGAAAAAGAGAGAAAGAAAGAAGAAAAATGTCATCATCAACGTTCATCCAACGATGGACATCTGTGAACGATTTGACGACGACGACGAATAGTAATAATAAACAGTCAACTACGTTTTTCCTTCGACCTCGGTTAGTTCCACCGCCGCCACCATCGTTATCGTCATCATCTCCATTTTTTCTACGGCCTTCACAATCATTAATCTCACTAGTCGAACCATCAACAATTCCTTCGAAAATTCGATGTCAATTATCTAAACCTCATTTCTCTTCATCCCGTGTTGCCAATATCATCCATCAATTTGAATCTCAAACACTTTCATCAATGAATCACTCAACAAAGGTTTCCGCACCGATNGTTCCACCACCGCCACCATCGTTATCGTCATCATCTCCATTTTTTCTACGACCTTCACAATCATTAATCTCACTAGTCGAACCATCAACAATTCCTTCGAAAATTCGATGTCAATTATCTAAACCTCATTTCTCTTCATCCCGTGTTGCCAATATCATCCATCAATTTGAATCTCAAACACTTTCATCAATGAATCACTCAACAAAGGTTTCCGCACCGATTCGAAGCGTTTTTGTCAAACAATGGGAAGGAACGCGCAAAACTCTTCCGACATCTCGAACTTCACCTCTTGCCATTGTTGATACATCTTTCTCTTCTTCTTCTTCTTCCTCTTCTTCTTCTCCGATTCCATTTCATTCGAAAAAGTCCACTCATCCAGCTGAACCGATTATTATCTGTGAAAGAATAACAAATCATAATAGGGTTCCAGCACCATCTGTCAGTCCAAAAACTTGGTCTCAACTTAAATATGTCTCGCAACAACACCTAGAATCTATTGAATGTGATTCTGATTCTGCTATTCATACATTAGTTACTGTCATTGAAAATAGTAATCATGATTGTGTCACTCTATCACGTTCGAGTACGAGTGGAACATCCGATTCCACATGTTCATCAACATGTTCATCTTCATCTTCACCTCCACGTTTTGCTCGTCCAACAATCGCCTCGACTCAGAAACAACGTCAAGTTATTTACAATTCTTCTTCATTCAAACGAACCAATTCACCTCCATCATCAATTCCCACATTTACTCGTGCAATTTCCTCACCCGTATCGACAATTCCTTCCTTATTTTCCATTCATGAGGATCTCGAACAACAACAATCATCACCACAAACATCAACAATAGCAACGTGTTTTTGTTCGTCAGAAAGCGATTCAATTGTTGACGATGATTATTGTCAGCTTTCCACAACAGATACAATTCGATCAGATAAAACGATTTTATTGCAAAATTCGCTTCTTATTAACACAAATCTTCCATTAAGATATAAAAGAGATTCATTTATACGTCTCTACGGGTAACAAATTAATATTTACTATCTAATAATTGATTCTCCTAATCGTATAGAAAGAAATCGAATTGAGATCATAAAACAAATATTTTCATAATCAATTGTGAATTTATTTTCTTATTCAATCACGTCAAATAAGACATTCTTTTTTTCTCGATATTCATCAAACTTATTTTCGAACAAAATTTTTTCGAATTCACTTTTCCATTCAGGCCCGATCTAATGCAACAGCATGGGCATCATATAGCCAACGAAATCGTGTTAGAAGATGGTAAATATACGAGAAATCTTGTCGAGAAAACAAGATTTAATCTTCATTTCAGATATTGATCCTCCATTTTCACCACGTGCTGTTACAGTTAAGAAGAATAGACTAGTTGCAGATGAATATGAACTCATGGAAATCCTCGGAAGGTAAATGATGATAATGTTACGTGTTGAAATATTGAAATCTGTGACGATTTTAGAGGGAAGTTTGGGGAAGTGAAAAAATGTCGTGAAAAATTGACTCAACATTTATTAGCAGCAAAGTTTATTCAGATTAATAAAGAACAAGATCGAATCGAAGCATTAAATGAAATCGATATCATGAAATCACTTCAACATCCTCGTCTATTACAACTCTATGATGCATTTGAAACCAAAGGCAACTTTTGTCTCATAATGGAATTGTAAAACTGTCAATCAAATTGTTCATTTACTTTAATTCTCTTTTGTTTCTTTAGAATCAATGGCGGAGAATTATTCGAACGTGTTATCGACGACGATTTTATCTTAACTGAACGTCTTTGTGAATTATATATGATGCAAATCTGTGAAGGTGTTAGTTTTATGCATTCGTGTAATATTATTCATCTTGATATGAAGGTTTGAAAAGATTTTCGTCCTGAACAAAAGTGACTATCGATTTCTGTTTAGCCTGAGAATATTTTATGTGTTAATCGAGATGGTCATCGAATTAAAATCATTGATTTCGGTTTGGCAAGAAGATTTGATCCAACAAAACAACTAAAAGTTCTATTTGGTACACCGGAATTCGTCGCACCAGAAGTGATTAATTTCGATCGAGTTGGCTTTGGGACAGATATGTGGTCAGTTGGAGTTATTTGTTATGTTTTGTAAGTTCATTCGTGCAAATTACATATTTTCTTCAATGTTTTTTGTTTTCTATTTCTTCAAGATTATCTGGTTTAAGTCCATTTATGGGTGAAAATGATAACGATACTTATGCAAATATTAATCGAGCAAATTATGATTTTGATGATGAATCATTTACTGATATATCAGATGAAGCAAAAGATTTTATTTCTAAACTACTCGTCAAAGACAAAGAGTAAATAAATTTGAAGAAGAAAATTGGTTTATTCGTTTTTAACTTTGTTTAGTAAACGTCTTCCAGCACGACAATGTCTTTCTCATTCATGGTTGACTCGTCGACCTAAATTAGTCTCTCAACCAACTGATGATGAAACAGCTGAAAAGAAATTATCAACGAAAAAATTACGTCGATTCGTTATCCGACGACGTTGGCAGGTTAGAAATATGATTTGATTCTTTTCGTTTTAAAAAGCTTGAAATTTGATTTTCGTAGAAAGCGGTTAATGCTCTATTAGCATTACAACGGATGGGAATGACGTTGTGAAGAAATATACGACACGACTCGATTCGCTTTTTTTTTCATTTGCAAATTTCTATTACTCGCACATATATTTCCTTTTTTCTTTTCTTGAGTCGCGCGTCTTTCACACATTGCTTCTTGTATTACATATGATAATATTCATCATCAGTATATGATATTGTTTGTTCAATTCGTTTTTATTATTATTTTTTTATGGTTTTTTTTTCTCGCTGTTGTTACCTGTGGTTCGTTCGCCCAGAGAATAGAGCGTGTGGATGTAACATTTGTCTTTTCTCGTCTTTTCTCTATGTGTGTACATTATACTTTTGTCTTTTTTTTCTTCTTTTCTTTCATTATTATTATTATTATTATTATCATTATTATTTCTGGTTTCAAACGGGGAGAAAAGATGAAAACACAGTTGAGATTTGATTTTTCTCTTGACTTAACAATGAAAATCTTCGTACAGATGGTTAATTACAAATTGATGATATAATAATTATCTGATGTAATATCAACTCTCGACTAATCGATCATTGTCAACGAAGAACGATTATTTCGATAGTCCTGATGGTGTTTCCTGATAAATCAGAGACAAACTCGTTACTTATTCACTTCGACTTGAAAGGAGAATTGACATAGGAGAAGAATTCTCACGTCTTTAAAGATATTATCGACGTTATGTAAGTTCTCTAATGATGATTGATGATGAACTAACTTTGTTCTTTGATCGTATCAATGCTAATGATAGAATAAATACTTTTGCTTAATCGTTATAATTTATAAAAGATTCTTTTGAATGATTTTCATTCGAACAAGACTTTGTCTGGAAGGAGAATTTATTTCTGAGGAACATTAAACGACCTACGACAAAAATTCTCAAATGTGTATTTCTTCATTTGTAATCAAAAATATAAGTTTTCTTTGTACTAATTTATTAGATATCAATGAGAGATTAAATTGGAAATTTATTAAAATGAAACGAAAAGAAAAAGTTTGATCACAAAGAAAATCAGTCGTATTCAGATAATATTAAATTTTCTCGTCGACAGGTGCTACACTTGCATCTCCTTTATTCGAATCTTTTCGCAAACATTTTCGAAGACCTCTCAAACACGGTTCATTTCCACCCATTAAAATATGAGGTAAACCGGCTCGAACAGGTTTTCCTGATTGTATTCTTCCCGCTGCTATTCCATATTGTCCCGCAACGGGCATCCACCATAACCATCCGTCGTCACGCAAATTCGCCCATAAATAAAAAATCGCACCGATTGAATAAATGATATCTCCATTATAATAAAGTTCATTTGTTCCGTATTGATCGGGATTCATCAGAATTTGAATGTTATACGCAATATAGATAAATGAACTTAATGTTGTTAATATATATGCAACTGTATCAGGGTCTTCTAAGGTAAAACCACGTCCCAATGCCCGCGTGTATGTTCGATACCATGACATAATCCTAAAAAAGTATGGTTAAAAGATTCTGACTGTTTCTTTTGAAATTTACCATCCGAACGAAGCGAATAGCTCCACAAATGCTGCGACTGTTTCCAGTTTATGTAAAGCTAAAGTATAAGGACCGTATAGACCATCTTCGTTTTGATACCAAATTGCAGACCAGAGATATAAACTTGCTTCAACCAAATTCAAATATTCCGGTATCATAATAACATCATTCCAACGATGATCTAATTCCAATCAAAAAATGTTCTTTCAAAAACAGCATTCAAAGATCAAATTACCTTTCCATGCCCACCAATATAAAGCTGCGGATATCATATGGACAATAGCCAATCCTAAATCATGATGAAAAGAGATTTTTCGATGGAGTTGAACAAGAGTTTCCTACCAAGGTACATTTTATTGACTATTGATACACCTGTTTCTATTGCTACAGTCGATGTGTCATTCGATATCTCAACAAATTCTTCGGCTTCAGCTGATCCGTTGATCCACGGATCATAATCAATGACCATAATTCCGATTGCATAGAGCTGAATAGATTTTATGTGAGAAAATCAAGAAAAAAAATACATCAACTTACAAGATAGACAAAGTTTGCGAGAAAATACCGGTTACGAATAGTTTTTTTGAAACATATTGGCACACGTTTTTTTATTTGTGTCCAGGTTAAAGCTGCCCAAAGTGAATCAAATGCTTCCAATTCATTAAATGGTGCTGTTGGATCATTTTCTTCGTCATCAGCCATTGAAAGTCACACGATCGAATAATTATCAGAAAATAAACATTTTCTTCGCAAATAACTGTAATAGATGTTGAAAAGAGCAGACACCAACTTCAGTCGGAAATTTGATCCCAAAGGTTTTCAATTAATCGCTTTGATCACGAGAGAAAAAAGGTCTGACGGTGATTTGATCTTTTTTTTTCTAACAGAAAACTTTCAGTATTTAAAGCGAGTTTAGTTTATTACAGATCATAAAAAAGAGAAATGAAAACAGAAGTTACTCTCGTATTGAGTAGCTGTATTCTCATATTTTTACAAGATGTTCCATAAACTCTTCAAGAACGTCGTTTTTCTCCATGTTATCAATGTACTTTTTCGAAATAGCTTATTTTGAATATGTCAGCGAGTGATTTGTAGTTTTGGTTACAGTTGTCTTGACACATGTTTCGACAGAGGATTTACGTTCGACATCGAAGAACATTTTCAATTATTTTTATTTTCAGGTCAATCTTTCCAGACAGATTTGCCTCTGATCGAAAGACGTCATTGAACAATTATTTTTTATTTCTAATGAAGCAGAATTCGATTTTTTTCCAATGAAAAGAAATCCTTTTAAAATGAAATGTTTGCTTATGCGATGTAATCAGGGAAGTAAACGATATTTTGTTAAGCAAAATTCATTCCTCTTCAATAAGTTTGTTCGATTGAAAAGAATAACAAAATATGAAAAAGATTCGTTCATACAAAATCGAACCGAATACTCTGTATCGATAGACTGTATACTTACCCCCCGCTTTTTATTATACACAACTTATCGATTACTTTATGGCGCCATATCACTTCAAAAACAATGTCATAAAAATAGTATTTTTATAAGACATCGACAGCTTTATTCTACATTGAAAATTCAAATTCATTTTTCAACAGTTTTTCGCCCAGTTTTCCTCGATCTTCATAATTTTCCACCCAAATCTTGATCAAATCTTCCACACATTGAACCACAACTGCTGTTCCCGCATGTGAATACAATAAACGCAACAGAAATACTCCATCTCGTTGTAACCAGTTCACAAACTCTCTCCTTCGTTTGTCACTATCTAAAAGGTCTCTTCCATGTTCTTCATGATCATTTGTTGTAATCTGATTTGTTGGATTTGATGGTGGATATTTTGCGTGAATCGAATGAATTACTTTGTCAATGAAACGATAACGAGTAAAGAATGGAACATAGAGACAAAATGAATAAACGAACGAGATCAACGAGATCACAAATAGAACTACAAACCAAATCCACATTGCAAAATAAATCTTCTCGTAGAATATGTTGATCAATAGAATACACTAAAAACAATCAACAAACGATAATTTCAGTCGCACATAAACCTTTCTTTTTTTATTTTACCTCAATTGTGTAGTAATGATCTTGACCTAGTTCACGAATATGAAAATCACATAGTGTCACAAATGGAAATAGTTGTTGATGTTTGTATGATAGATTGACGATGCGTTCACGTATTGTCGATTGAAATAAATATTTCATCGTATCGAATCCAAATCGAACAAATCCATATTTACCAGTCGATAGAAGAAGATTTAGAAAGTAGACTTGGATGATAATGTTGAGAAGATAGAGAACTTTGATGAATAGATAAAGTGAAACAACATATGAGCTTCGATATCGAATACGAAATGACACATTGGGTAAAAGTGATTCAGATTGAGATGGAGAATCTTGATGAATGTTGCTACGAAGTAACAGCTTCTTCTTACATTGTGCCAATCGTCGACACATTAGATATCTTTCGACTTCTTTGGCGATTCGTTGACCAGTATTGGATTTCTCATCGAATTTTTTTCCTTGTTCAACGACGAGACCGGGATTGAGACCATTCTTCTGATAAAAACTGATCCAGATAAGATGTGGAAGAAGAAAGAAGAATGCTTGGATGAGATAGACGAATGGTAACCACTGATAATATCTAAGAGTGTGTTGTTGTCGTTCGTTTTTGTCCATCGGTAATCTTGTGTAAGTTTGAGGATAGAAGTACGTGTTATTCAACCAACAGATCTTTCGAGCAAACGATGTATAGCCATCTGTAAACTGGGCTGGTTGAATACACTGAATAGGATCCGCATAGAACTGGAGAGTCGTGGAGGCGACGGCAGCGATAATCAGAAATGTGAAAGTGACTTGATAATGAATTTCATCCGAACGGAAATCGTTATTTGTGTCGATGCGTACTAAACCTCGACTTAACTTAAGGATTGTATCAGCCATTATCTTAAAACAACGAAAGAGATTTCATGTTAAAATAAAATATCAATGGTGTGTTGTTCTTTCGTTCTCTTTTACTATATGTTGCCCTTCATCACATCACCAATGATGTGATAGGAGTGGTGGTAAGAGTACTACCTTGGGACTACCTGAAGCAAATGTATAAAAGTACGGTGTAAATGGGTTTACAATTAGTTAACATTTGAATAAATATTTGATTCGAGCTTTCAATTTTCTTCTTATGGAGGATATGATCGACGGCTATCATTTTTTCTTTGCTCATCACTATGCTGTTCCGAACAGATGAGAAAGAGAAAAAAAAATGATGGTCATGGATGTTTATGCAATACATACGATTTTTCTCTTTTTTTTCTTTTTACCGTTCTGTCGAGGTGATGTTATGATCGATTGATGCTTGTCGCAACAGAATAGACCATGCTTTCCGGTTGCCTTTCTTTCTCTGTCTGCATCTTTCCTCGAGGTACGCGTATACACCAATAAATCCCCATCGACTGAAGCTACAAAAGAGCATCTTTGCAGTATTTATATCTGTGTAAAGTGTGAAAATGACACGAAAAAATATATCTATAGATATCGACCATTGTATGTTAGTCTTCTCGAAATTGGCAAGGACGGTTACGCTCTTGATTTATTTGAATTATGGAGAAATATTCGTCTCTAACGCTTCAACTATGATGAAGTGCATAGTAATTAAGATGAAGGTTTCAAAAATTTTTAGCGATAAGTCATTCCAAGTCATCTCAGAGTCACATATTTTACCATTCGAATCTCATTTTAATCTCAATGTATATTTTTAAAAGCGTAGAAATAGATCGTTTAGACATAGCCATTTATTTTTTCGCTTGAAGTTTTTCTATCATATTGTGCATGTAGAGGAAATTATGAATTGAAGAAAAGCAGTGACATACTTTTAAATAACAAATAGATCATCGCAAAACAAATACAAAATGTCTGTTGAAATACCATTAACAGCACATCGCTCGCAGTGGAGCAACCAGGATTTTTAGGCCAATGGGCAAACTTCTGTTACGTAATAAAAAGATGATGACAAAGTGGGCCGGCTTTTTATCGACGGGCCAAAAAATGTTGTCTTAGCAATATGCGAAAAGCGCTCAGAAGAGCAGAAACATAGTGAAACGAGATAACGTTTCTCTAATAAGAACCTGTAGATATACAGAAATCTCAGGCTGATGTCAAACGGATATCGGCATATTTTTTGTTTTCCAAAATTTATATTTAAATCGAATATCAAAATCAAGACGAAAAATATATAGCTGCTATCTAACTCATAAATCAATATATCGATTTTAACAAGTAAAATTTGAGTGAACAAAAGTTACCCAAAAAGATTTTAATGGGCAAAACTGAAAATGGAATGGGCAATCGCCCATTTGCCACTCCCTGGTTGCGCCACTGATCGCACGCATAATCGCTTTGCCAAAATCCATTCAAATAGAAAAAACACACCCAATGTCATTACTTTCGTGTTTCTCCGAGATATTTGAACAATGCTTTACGGTTTAGTTTAGACAACTGATTAACGAATAAGGTGTTTTGCCCAACGGATAAGGCGGATTGCAACCTAATCATAACATGGCTACACGTTTCATCGACATAAAAAAACACTCGATTCGATTACTTCAACCTGTCACAAGACGTTCGACAACAAAGCTGTATAGGACCGTTACTATTCGTCGTCCGCTATCACAATATTCTCGAAGCTCTGCTGACATGACAAACCCTTTGCCGATGAATTGGTGACTTGACTTGCTCCATCATCGTAGTTATTTTCTGAAAACTAGTACTTAGTTAACTAATCAAGTATGTGAATATCTAAAATCAACCGATGAACAACTTCTGAACTCTAAATTGATGTAATAGAAAACCATCATTAAAAAATCAATATTTACAAAAGGTCTCATCGAACCATTATGTTAAATGTATTGCAGGGTTCATTGCTGCTGAATGATTTGAATAAACAATTATTCATCTTAGATCATAATACTTAACTTGAACCCTTTCAATGTATTCTTGATTTATTACGCGATGAAAACCATGAAATGATAAGTAAAGTTGTGAAATGTCTTCGTTCGTCGGCAAATCAAATTAGACGGAGCAACAGGATATTGTGTGTGCAACGTTATGTTCAAATATTAACAAGCAATGTGAAGGTAGAAAGTCATTCAAAACTGGATCGAATTGATCCATACTTTAACATCAATTCTTTGTGTATTGACAATTATGTGACCAATATATGGGAATAAAATACTTTCAAAACTTCGGGCATGTTTGTTGACAGCTTTAAGATCATTCTGGACACCAAAAATGTTAGCCATAGTATAAGAAGAAAGAATAACCTCGGAGGTAAATGATTCTGGTTTCCGAATCTGTGTAATTCCGGTATAAAGACACTGGAAACCGACGAAAAACGGAAGCAGGAATCCTTCAAAAAGGATCTCACGATCAATTTTGTCCTGTTCCTTTTGATTTCGTCGAGAATCAGATGAATTCGTGTGCTACACACATTCAAAGAATTCCTGTTTCCATTTTCTGTTAATTCAAATGTCGTCCTACCAGATTCGGCCTGTACTTCTCGACATAGGTTACTGTTCAAAAACGAATGAAGGTCTCGATCGACGCTAGGACAATTCGTCGCCACCTCATTATTATACATGAACTAGTACTTTTCTTAATTGGATTGTCAGAATTTGTACTTCAATTGATAAATAAAGTACTGTTGAGCGAATCAATGTGCTATCTGTTGATGACAAAAATTAATTGATTTCAACATAAAGTATAAAATGATCCTAAAAACAGAACAGATTCGAAAAAGAAACCATATCTACATGTTTGACTACACAAAAGCAATGAGTGAAATAAGAAGACTTTTAACTGACAGAAAGAGACCAATGCTTAACTATCGAGATTATCTTTATACCGTCGAAAAAACTAACGACGACAAAATTCTTTTTCGACGTAAAAATCGCGATCGCAAAGGTAAATTCAACAAATAGAATTTTTCATTCGCTTTCTCTTAAAATTAGGGCGATTTAAAACAAATTTAGATATGGATGCTATTTTGTCTGAACCAACCAAGCATTCACATGCACCAAATATAGATCAACTTCCAGTTGTCGAATTGAAAAACAAAATCAAATCAACAGCTGCCGACAGCGAAAAAGTCACAAGTGGTATTTTATTTTCCAATCTACGTTCTTTTCCGTTAGATGCTGCTGGCCAATTACCACAAACCAGCTCGGTTCTTCGAATGATTTGCTGTCAACGCCAAGCTGAAGCAACAAATTCTGACAATCTAATTAAGAAAAGTACAAGTTAATGTATAATATAATTAGTTGGCGACGAATTGTCCGTCCACTATGCCAGTTCATAAGATTATCATAAAAAACATGCGTTGCCAATATTTTTAATGAGTTACATGCTGCTTTAGATCATGTATTATTTCGATGCATATGTGAACATCAAATAATTGATCTTATTGTCGTCGAAAATAAAATCGAAAAGCCCTCCAAGCTTGTTCAACACATACATATTACTACACTTTGTAATTATTCGAAAATTTCGAACACTTGCCTATTACTATAGCTCATTCTTCTCCTTCAGTGCTGTAAATCTATATCTTCCATTACCTTTTCTTTGAACTTGAAAAGTTATTTGTCAAAGGGATAAGTTATGCATCTTGCTTGTCATCACTCGACGCACATCTTCCACAATAAAAAATCTTAGTCATTTCTGACATTTGTTTTTCTAATAATTAGTTATTTCAATGAAATCGAGAAAGAAAACTTTTTCATACTTCAGTTCGACTTCATAATCTCTTTGAATCTGTCGAAAATCAGTGGCGCATTCATCTTTGTATATTTCTAGGATTGTCTGCCTAATTTGAAAGTCTTGTCATTGAGCGAATGCTCTTGTCCATTTGATAAGAATGGCGCAAAGTTTCTGTCTCTTCACCGAATTCTCAATGTAGAAGAACTGAGTCTACAAATTCATATCAGTTCTCGATCTATATTTTTCGACGGTTCTCATTCGTCAAATGAAATTTCGAGTTATTTGTTCAGTTTTCGTACATTCTACTTCTGCATTTCTGTGCACAGTGACGAACAAGATTTGTTGCATGGTTATATTCCGAAAAATGATATTGAATCTTCTCCATAATATTAAATGTCGAGAAACGATTTATATTGTGAACTCTCATTAATATCGTCTAGTCAATTATCGTATCCTTTCAGTACCACATGACCGTTTATGTTCAATTATTTAGATCGTATTAGCAATAGATCTCCAAATATTATTTACACCCATGTCAAAGAATTAAGCGTCGCTGATCAAGTTCAATTTGAAGAAGAATTTTTCCGTCAATTTAGTCATTATTTTCCCCTACTGATAAAATTATGCTTTCTCTATTCGAATTTGTCCATCACGAAAATTAAGTAACAATCGATTGTTCGACATACTTATCTAACCACACTTGGTATGATAATGGTCATATGCATTATGTCGAACTATTTCTTAATCCGACAAAAACAGTTCGTTGTCACCCTTGAAAACTTGTCACAAAAAGTTTCCCTAGAAATGAAACTCATCGCAATTTCATCAATATAAAACAATTATTCACAACAAAAAGTTGCCTCTGGTCGGAAGACTTTAAGTTTTATTTCCCATTGTTGATAGAACCATGTTTTTCCACAAAAAACACCAATTTTGTTCATCAGAAAATTTACCATTCTATGAACTAAAAATAATATGTTTTATTACTAAAAACAAATCATGTTCTCCGTCAGATAGTAGCCTAGATAATGAGGAGGGAAAGATTTAGAATGTTGGTTTCTTTTTCTGACTGACAGCCACTGCGTAAGGCAAAATTCACGTTTCTCTTTATTATTAAAACAATCATTTCCTTGAACTAATCCTTTCATCCCACAACAATGTTACAAAACAAAAGTCAAATATATCTACACGATCATAGACTCAACGCGAGAATTCAAATTCATTTTTCAACAGTTTTTCGCCCAGTTTTCCTCGATCTTCATAATTTTCCACCCAAATCTTGATCAAATCTTCCACACATTGAACCACAACTGCTGTTCCTGCATGTGAATACAATAAACGCAACAGAAATACTCCATCTCGTTGTAACCAGTTCACAAAGTCTCTCTTTCGTTTGTCACTGTCTAAAAGGTCTCTTCCATGTTCTTCATGATCATTTGTTGTAATCTGATTTGTTGGATTCGATGGCGGATATTTTGCGTGAATCGAATGAATCACTTTTTCAATGAAACGATAACGAGTAAAGAATGGAACATAGAGACAAAATGAATAAGCGAATGAGATCAGCGATATCACGAATAGAACTGCAAACCAAAGCCACATTGCAAAATAAATCTTCTCGTAGAAGATGTTGATCAACAGAATACACTAAAAGCAATCAACAAACGACAATTTCAATCGCACACCCACCCTCACTCTTTACTCTACCTCAATTGTATAGTAATGATCTTGACCTAGTTCACGAATGTGAAAGTCACACAGTGTCACAAATGGAAACAGTTGTTGATGTTTGTACGATAGGTTGACAATGCGTTCGCGTATTGTCGATTGAAATAAATATTTCATCGTATCGAATCCAAATCGAACAAAGCCATATTTACCAGTCGATAGAAGAAGATTCAGAAAGTAGACTTGGATGATAATGTTGAGAAGATAGAGAACTTTGATGAACAGATAAAGTGAAACAACATATGAGCTTCGATATCGAATACGAAATGACACATTGGGTAGAAGTGATTCGGACTGAGATGGAGAATCTTGATGAACGCTGCTGCGAAGTAGCAGCTTCTTCTTACATTGTGCCAGTCGTCGACACATTAGATATCGTTCGATTTCTTTGGCGATTCGTTGGCCTATATTGGATTTCTCATCGAACTTTTTTCCTTGTTCAACGACGAGACCTGGATTGAGACCATTCTTCTGATAGAAACTGATCCAGATGAGATGTGGAAGAAGAAAGAAGAATGCTTGGATGAGATAGACGAATGGTAACCATTGATAATATTTGAGAGTGTGTTGTTGTCGTTCGTTTTTGTCCATCGGTAATCTTGTGTAAGTTTGAGGGTAGAAGTATGTGTTGTTCAACCAACAGATCTTTCGAGCAAATGATGTGTAGCCATCTGTAAACTGGGCTGGTTGGATACATTGAATGGGATCCGCATAGAACTGAAGAGTTGTGGAGGCGACGGCAGCGATAATCAGGAATGTGAAAGTGATTTGATAATGAATTTCATCGGAACGAAAATCATTATTTGTGTCGATGCGTACTAAACCTCGACATAACTTAAGGATTGTATCAGCCATTATCTTAAAACAACGAAAGAGATTCAAAGTGAAAACGAAACATCAAGTATAAAAATATGCTCGCTCTCGTGTTTTTTTTGTCACAACATGTCCTTCAGCACACGACCAATGATGTAATAGTAGTACTAGTAAGTAGGAGTAGTGCCTTGGAGTTGTTCGAATCAAGCCTAGAACAGCACAGAGTCAATAGTTTTGTAATGAATTGACATCTGAACGAATGTTCTGCCTAGTTTTGACGTCATACACTACAACGTTTCTTCTTCTTCTCTCATCATTATGCTGCTCAGAACCGACGAGAAAGAAGAGAAAATGATGGTTATGTATAATTATATAATATATACGGTTTTTTTTCTTCTTTTTTTTCTGTTCTATGGAGGTAATGCTGTGATCGATTGATGCTGGATGGAACAGAATATTCCGCCCTGTTCTGTTGACTCTTTCTGTTCTTTTTTACCTCGTCCTGTACTGAATATTTGCAGAACGAGATTGTATGTAAGGAAACGTAAAAGATTGCAGAAGTGTCTTATCAATAATGAAACTATCATGTGTTGAAATAAACACAGCAATGTGAAGGATTATTCAATATTTTTCTTTTTAGAAACAAAAGAGAAGATTCACTGCATTTTATATTCGAAATTCCTAATGTAATACAGAAGATTTTCTTAGTTGAGATAAAAAACTAAATCGTTGTTCATGAAGATGATTTTCAGATGGTTGAATTTTCGTTGGTATCGAACTGTGACTTCGTCTTGTCCATCCAATTCTCAATGATTTCGGCGAAGATATCGAAATATTTTCCGTTTTCTGTGTTGCGTTATTCGTCGATGAAGGTAATAAAGGCGTTGATGATTCTTCTTGAACAACTGCTGTCGACGGAGGAGGAGAACATGTACATTGACTACTATCACTTGTGCTTATCGTCGTTGGTATTCCTTGCGAATGAATTAACGATCGAGAAAACGTTGCATATGGAATCGAACACGGATTTGGTCGATGATATAATGTATGTTGATAATGACAGATATGTGATTTGGATAATGAAGAAGAATGAGGATGACGAGCCATTGTTAAGAAATAATCAGGTATACATTCGTACTGATGGTTTTGTAATGTATCAAAAGGTGCAGAATTTGTGGCGAGTGAAGATGGTTCATTGGAATTTGGATTCATCGGATCGGTTAATGGAATTAATTGATGAGAATAAGAATCGTCACAACAGTTCAATGCATTTGATGTACACTAAGAGAAAACACAATCATTTCTATGTTTGTAATGAGAAAAGAGATGAGAATTGCACAAAATGTAATAATACTTTCATATCATCATCGAAAAAATGTGTTATTAATTTTTGAATGAAGAATCGAATGACATCAACACTTGTTCTCTTAGTGATTTATTAATGTTATCTGTTCTTCTAGTGATATAATACTCTATTTGATCTGAAGGTTTCATTTGATAATTAAATGATGAGAAAGATCGTTAAAATAAAGTTTCGAGTTTTTCTTTCCTTTGATAAATTATTCATTAAACGGAAATTTGAGTAATGGAAAGAACAAACGTATTGATGAAGAAAATTTTCCAGATGTTCAATTTCTTCTCAGGCGTCAACTTACTTTGTAATGTTCATTGGCTCTTTTACAATGATCCGATTGATGCGAACTTCTCGCCAAAGATCCAGTCAGTACATAGTTTTTATATTGTTTTTCTTCCTTTTTCAATTTTCTAAAGCAAAAAGTAGACGAATGTTGGCCAATCCAATGGAACTCCTTACTTAAGACAGATAAAAATAAATATCGCAATAATAATACAGGAAATGACACTGACTAAAGCCAAAATCAGAAGAAAAAGATTCAACCAATTGATTTGTTGTTCGTGTTTGTGAAGGACATTCGACGTGGAATTCAAAAGAAAATTTAATGGCGGAAGAACGCATTGACCATTGAGAATCTCAATGGTTTGAAATTGTTCGAAAAATGGTCCAGGTGGTTTCGGTGGAGGACGAATTGTAAATAAAGGTGGTGGAGGAAGTCGATCGATCATCTGAAATAATCATTTGATATGAGTAAAACGAGATTTTTTACCTTTTGGGAAAGAATTGTAATTAATAAAAGAATATTTTGATTTCTTAAATGAATCGCTTCTTTGTCCTTGATTAAAGGCAAGTCACATACGTTTTGTTCACCCGGTAGGCAGATGTGATTAGATCGAACCTCTCATTCTCTTCTTCTTTGTTATTCAAGTAGAAGAAAAAGAATCTGTTCTCATTATTACATCGAGATGAGAGAAAGAGAGAAAAAGAAAAGAAAAAAAAAGAACTATTGAATGACACAAACACACTAGCGCTTATCTTTTTTTTTACCAGAAATTTATGTCGATGAAAAGTTCTTGTCATCGCATATGCGAGATGATAGGGTGCGCTTCAATGAATGTTATATAAAAAAACATAAAGAAGATGAACGATGAACATCTGTATGATTGATTTGTTTCTATTGAAATCGACTGACAAATGGTCATTTTCAAATGTTTTCTTCCAAGGTTATTCAATTTGACAGTCACTTATCAACGAAGACGAGACTCACATTGATTAAAATACTTCATATGATGACTAATCTTTTTCTTCTAAGCTGATGGGTGATGCTCAAAGGCACATCTAGTCTCGTTTTACACACATTCATCTAATCCTGTTTGTTATTCGATCCATGTACTTTCAACTAATGTCTGGACGTCGATCGAAGAAGAAAAAGAACGAGAGTAAACGAACTCATCATTATGATGTAACGATCTAATTAAACAAAATGAACTCTTCACTTCATCTTATGTCATTATTTGGACAAAAAAAAACGCGATTCGTTCTCGTTTTACCTTTGTACGAAATGTAAATGTGTAAAGATTTTAATCTTTGTCATACGTGTTCAATCGATTAGTCGAGTTTAGCAAATTGAAGAGAAGAAAATCATTTGGAACTGTCGATATGATGTAATCGGCAAGTAGAGATAAACGTTGAATTGTGATGTTGACAATGTTTTCTCTAGCTGTGAGCGAATTTATCAACATCTGTTCAATTTCTATACACAAGAAGCAAAACAATCGACATTCACATTGCCAATTGTTTCTTTTTAAATAGCCTTGAGATTCTAAAATATGAAAAGTGAACTTCTCCTATTCTCGTCTTTTTTGATTAAAAGTCATTCGACCATCATTTATGATGATTCTGATCTTGTGAAGTGACACAATGTCGAAAGTCATTGAAGCACATAGACATAGATGGATATAATATAGTCTTTCACTATCAATAATCTTTCTCTCTGACTTCTTTGACACTAAATAATTCCACCGTCGCAACTCATTATCTGCGCATCACGTTCGGTTCATTGGATTTCTACTTGTCGTAATGATTATGCGAAAGAAGAGGAAAAGCTGTACTGAAATAATCTGGTGCGCGTGTGAATGAAGATGATGATGAAAGAATGTTACTAGCCTTGGTCAGATCATCTGTTTCCTTTTAGAGAACAGATTCAACGAAGTAAAGAAAAATGATTTCCGGAGTCAAAACTCAATGAATTCTGACGAAGAATGACCAGTAGAACATGTCTCGAATGAAGAAAATCTTATTCGATCTAATTGGACGAGAAGTAAAAGAAAAGAATCTATTCTCTATTCAATATATCGCCATTTCCGTTTCATCTATTTCCCTCATCCAATATTTGTCAAAAAGAGAAGAAACAGAACATCTATTTCATTCTCTTCACTATATCTGGAATTAGACTCGTCGTATTCATCACACACACACACGTAAAGAGAAGGTCAACATACAGATGAAGACAAACAAAAGAGGTCATTTTAATTGACACGCTCTTTTCCATTGAAGCAATGGCTTTCTTGAAATAATTCCACGAAAAAAAAAGTTGAAAAAACACGGACACCTACTGCGACATGTAAATTGATCTTTTCTTTTGTATGCAATGATAAATTACAAGTTATTCTCCATATGTACTGTGCAGACTAAATCTGTTCTGTTGATGAACAGAGGCGTCTAATCTTTCTCTGTATANCAGATAAGATGTGGAAGAAGAAAGAAGAATGCTTGGATGAGATAGACGAATGGTAACCACTGATAATATCTAAGAGTGTGTTGTTGTCGTTCGTTTTTGTCCATCGGTAATCTTGTGTAAGTTTGAGGATAGAAGTACGTGTTATTCAACCAACAGATCTTTCGAGCAAACGATGTATAGCCATCTGTAAACTGGGCTGGTTGAATACACTGAATAGGATCTGCATAGAACTGGAGAGTTGTGGAGGCGACGGCAGCGATAATCAGAAATGTGAAAGTAACTTGATAATGAATTTCATCCGAACGGAAATCGTTATTTGTGTCGATGTGTACTAAACCTCGACTTAACTTAAGGATTGTATCAGCCATTATCTAAAAGTAACAAACGAGCGGGATTCAAAGTGAAAACGAAACATGAAACAGAAAAATATGCTCGCTCTCGTTTTTTTTGTCACAACATGTCCTTCAACATACGACCAATGATGTAATAGGAGTACTAATAAGTAAGAGTAGTGCTTTGGAGTTGTTCGAATCAGGCCTAGAAAGGCACAGAGTCAATAGTTTTGTAATGAATTGACATTTGAACGAATGTTCTGCCTAGTTTTGACATGATTCACTACAACTTTTCTTCGTCTTCTTCTTCTTCTCTCATCATTATGCTGCTCAGAACCAACGAGAAAGAAGAGAAAATGATGGTTATGTATAATTATATAATATATACGGTTTTTTTTTCTTCTTTTTTTCTGTTCTATGGAGGTAATGCTGCGATCGATTGATGCTGGATGGAGTAGAATATCTCGCCCTGTTCTGTTGACTCTTTCTGTTCTTTTTTTACCTCGTTTTGTGCTGAATGTTTGCAGAACGAGATTGTGTGTAAGGAAACGTAAAAGACTGCAGAAGTGTCTTATCAATAATGAAACTGTCGTGTGTTGAAATAAACACAGCAATGTGAAAGATTATTCAATATTTTTCTTTTTAGAAACAAAAGAGAAGATTCACTGCATTTTATATTCGACATTCCTAATGTAATACAGAAGATTTTCTTAGTTGAGATAAGAAACTAAATCGTTTTTCACGAAGATGATTTTCGGATGGTTGAATTTTCGTTGGTATCGAAGTGTGACTTCGTCTTGTCCATCCAATTCTCAGTGATTTCGGCGAAGATATCGAAACATCTTCGGTTTTCTGTGTTGCGTTATTCGTCGATGAAAGTAATAAAGGCGTTGATGATTCTTCCTGAACAACTGTTGTCGACGGAGGAGGAGAACATGTACATTGACTACTATCACTTGTGCTTATCGTCGTTGGTATTCCTTGCGAATGAATTAACGATCGAGAAAACGTTGCATATGGAATCGAACACGGATTTGGTCGATGATATAATGTATGCTGATAATGACAGATATGTGATTTGGATAATGAAGAAGAATGAGGATGACGAGCCATTGTTAAGAAATAATCAGGTATACATTCGTACTGATGGTTTTGTAATGTATCAAAAGCTGAAGAATGTGTGGCGAGTGAAGATGGTTCATTGGAATTTGGATTGATCGGATCGGTTAATGGAATTAATTGATGAGAATAAGAATCGTCACAACAATTCAATGCATTTGATGTACACTAAGAGAAAACACAATTATTTCTATATTTGTAATGAGAAAAGTGATGAGAATTGCACAAAATGTAATAATACTTTCTTATCATCATCGAAAAAATGTGTTATTAATTTTTGAATGAAGAATCGAATGACATCGACACTTGTTCTCTTAGTGATTTATTAATGTTATCTGTTCTTCTAGTGATATAATACTCTATTTGATCTGAAGGTTTCATTTGATAATTAAATGATGAGAAAGATCGTTAAAATAAAGTTTCGAGTTTTTCTTTCCTTTGATAAATTATTCATTAAACGGAAATTTGAGTAATGGAAAGAACAAACGTATTGATGAAGAAAATTTTCCAGATGTTCAATTTCTTCTCAGGCATCAACTTACTTTGTAATGTTCATTGGCTCTTTTACAATGATCCGATTGATGCGAACTTCTCGCCAAAGATCCAGTCAGTACATAATTTTTATATTGTTTTTCTTCTTTTTTCAATTTTCTAAAGTAAAAAGTAGACGAATGTTAGACAATCCAATGGAAATCCTTACTTAAGACATATAAAAATAAATATCGCAATAATAATACAGGATATGACACTGACTAAAGCCAAAATCAGTAGAAAAAGATTCAACCAATTGATTTGTTGTTCGTGTTTGTGAAGGACATTCGACGTGGAATTTAAAAGAAAATTGAATGATGGAAGAACGCATTGACCATTGAGAATCTCAATGGTTTGAAATTGTTCGAAAAACGGTCCAGGTGGTTTCGGTGGAGGACGAATTGTAAATAAAGGTGGTGGAGGAAGTCGATTCATCATCTGAAATAATCATTTGATATGAGTAAAAAAGAGATTTTTTACCTTTTGGGAAAGAATTTTAATTAATAAAAGAATATTTTGATTTCTTAAATGAATCGCTTCTTTGTCCTTGATTAAAGGCAAGTCACATACGTTTTGTTCACCCGGTAGGCAGATGTGATTAGATCGAACCTCTCATTCTCTTCTTCTTTGTTATTCAAGTAGAAGAAAAAGAATCTGTTCTCATTATTACATCGAGATGAGAGAAAGAGAAAAAAAAGAAAAGAAAAAAAGAACTATTGAATGACACAAACACACTAACGCTTATCTTTTTCTTTTACCAGAAATTTATGTCGATGAAAAGTTCTTGTCATCGCATATGCGAGATGATAGGCTGCGCTTCAATGAATGTTATATAAAAAAATAAAAGAAGATGAACGATGAACATTTGTATGATTGATTTGTTTCTATTGAAATCGAATGACAAATGGTCATTTTCAAATGTTTTCTTCCAAGGTTATTCAATTTGACAGTCACTTATCAACGAAGACGAGACTCACATTGATTAAAATACTTCATGTGATGACTAATCTTTTTCTTCTAAGCTGATGGATGATGCTCAAAGGCACATCTAGTCTCGTTTTACACACATTCATCTAATCCTGTTTGTTATTCGATCCATGTACTTTCAACTAATGTCTGGACGTCGATCGAAGAAGAAAAAGAGCGAGAGTAAACGAACTCATCATTATGATGTAACGATCTAATTAAACAAAATGAACTCTTCACTTCATCTTATGTCATTATTTGGACAAAAAAAAACGCGATTCGTTCTCGTTTTACCTTTTGTACGAAATGTAAATGTGTAAAGATTTTAATCTTTGTCATACGTGTTCAATCGATTAGTCAAGTTTAGCAAATTGGAGAGAAGAAAATCATTTGGAACTGTCGATATGATGTAATCGGCAAGTCGAGATAAACGTTGAATTGTGATGTTGACAATGTTTTCTCTCGCTGTGAGCGAGTTTATCAACATCTGTTCAATTTCTATACACAAGAAACAAAACAATCGACATTCACATTGCCAATTGTTTCTTTTTAAATAGCCTTGAGATTCTAAAATATGAAAAGTGAACTTCTCCCATTCTCGTCTTTTTTGATTAAAAATCATTCGACCATCATTTATGATGATTCTGATCTTGTGAAGTGACACAATGTCGAAAGTCATTGAAGCACATAGACATAGATGGATATAATATAGTCTTTCACTATCAATAATCTTTCTTTGTGACTTCTTTGACACTAAATAATTCCACCGTCGCAACTCATTATCTGCGCATCACGTTCGGTTCATTGGATTTCTACTCGTCGTAATGATTATGCGAAAGAAGAGGAAAAGCTATACTGAAATAATCTGGTGCGCGTGTGAATGAAGATGATGATGATGATGATGATGAAAGAATGTTACTAGCCTTGGTCAGATCATCTGTTTCCTTTTAGAGAACAGATTCAACGAAGTAAAGAAAAATGATTTCCGGAGTCAAAACTCAATGAATTTTGGAGAAGAATGACCAGTAGAACATGTCTCAAATGAGGAAAATCTTATTCGATCTAATTGGACGAGAAATAAGAGAAAAGAATCTATTCTCTATTCAATATATCGCCATTTCCGTTTCATCTATTTCCCTCATCCAATATTTGTTAAAAAGAGAAGAAACAGAACATCTATTTCATTCTCTTCACTATATCTGGAATTAGACTCGTTGTATTCATCACACACACACGTAAAGAGAAGGTCAACATACAGATGAAGACAAACAAAAGAGGTCATTTTAATTGACACGCTCTTTTCCATTGAAGCAATGTCTTTCTTGAAATAATTCCACGAAAAAAAAAGTTGAAAAAACATGGACACCTACTGTGACATGTAAATTGATCTTTTCTTTTGTATGCAATGATAAATTACAAGTTATTCTCCATATGTACTGTGCAGACTAAATCTGTTCTGTTGATGAACAGAGGCGTCTAATCTTTCTCTGTATATGTGAACATATGTTCATGTTTGTACATCTCACTGGGTGGAGATTTCATATAATATTCCATAGATTTGTATATGTTTATCTGCAAAAGAAAGACAAAAGTTAATTTTGAATGAAATAAGTGCTAAGTAAATGTTAAATATTGAATGAAATCATTTCGTTTTTCAATTTCATCTCTTTTAAAGAAAATCCCACCTTTTGATTTATTCAAATCAATATAAACCACCTGTATGTTCAATACTTGAACACATCAAATACGTGTCAGTCAATGTTTTATAACACAAAATGAAGAGACAGTATGAAAGAGAATGGGAGAGAGAGAGAGGTCATTCTTCTCCTTCTTCTTTCTCTTGAGAGTCATTCATTGTTAAAAAGAACATACAATGTCCATAAATGAGATTCATTTTATATTCTATGCAATGACTAAAACCAGGAAATTGTCTTTGTTGATAAACTCGCTCACAGCGAGAGAAAACATTGTCAACATCACAATTCAACGTTTACCTCGACTTGCCGATTACATCATATCGACAGTTCCAAATGATTTTCTTCTCTCCAATTTGCTAAACTTGACTAATCGATTGAACACGTATGACAAAGATTAAAATCTTTACNCAATGTTTATACTTTTTTCATTTCCAAGGTTGTCTGGTGAAACATTTCGACATTTATTCAGATGAAGAATCCGAGAAAGATTAGTAATATTCGCTTTAGCGAGATATATAAAGCTGTAGACTCTTCGATCCAATGTCATTTGACTCAGTGTAATGAAGCGGTCTGAGAGGAGAGTTTCGTCTCGTATTGCTTGAGATAGACTGAGATGATAATTTGTGAGAAAGCGTCTGTTGATATTTGATCCAAATGATCTCAACATGATTTTTGTCAAAGACTGTTGGAATCTGATCATTCAAGAAAAATCTTCCACATAGAGAATGTTGAATCTATTGAGAATAAGATAAACAAATGAAGTCATCATCATCATCATCATCATATTCTCTGAAGTCTGGCTCTCGGTGTTATTTTACGAAAGAAATCAAACAGAGACATTTAAAATAGCGAAGAATACAATAAAAAATAGTGAAATGATTGCGAGAGAAAAAGAAGCACACATACATTTACAGAAAAAGAAGAAAACGCGTTATAGAAGTTAAAAGATACGTCAAATTGGCAACAACATCAAGGTAACAATGACGACAAGCAGCCAGAAGAAAGAGAAATTAGAGAAGAAGATACACCACACACACGACAGCAACAGAGAAAAGCCGTCTCCAATGAAAACACTTGACTAGTCACACTCTAGATAGATCAAAATATGTAGAACAAAACAGAAAAAGAAAGAGAAGAAAACTGAAGTCATTTATGAATTAAGAAGATATCGACCGGCGCTTGTCGAACTTGACAAATAAAGGTTAAAAAATAGAAAGAGACAAGAAGCTGAGCGGCGGGCGATACTTTGTATCTGGATGTACGCAATAAAAACGTTTTTTTTCTCTTTTTTAAAAAAGAAACAAAGATTTCGTCATTTCATCGTTTTAATAAAGTCCACTGGCACGAAGATTATTCGTTATGATGACATCAGTAACAGCATCGCTAAAAAATCGACAATAACAATAGTTTTCTACTCGAAATCTTCTCCTTACAAGACAAATTGCACGTTCTGAGTATCTGTGGCACAGGTTAAATGACAATAAATCTCCTAAATGACAAAGCGGAATGTTTGAATCGATGAAGGCTTTTCTTGAAAAGACAAACTTTTTGTTCGCTCTTGTTTTGTGCAACAAATTGAGCTTGAATATATTCGCTCGCTTCAGTATATTCATCTTTGCCTTGATATTCAGGGAAACATTTTCTAAAAGAGACGCGAAGAATTGTGCTTTTTTTCGTCAAAGAAAAATCTTGTCTTCACTTACACCAGACTTGATCGAGGGATTTTTTCAGCAAATAAATCTTTTTTATTCAAAAAGAGAATGATTGAGGTGTTGACAAACCACTTGTTATTACAAATTGAATCGAATAGACGAAGAGATTCGTGCATACGATTAGTTGTTTCATCTTCGACAAGAACCTGGTCAGACCGGTGAGAATTATCTGATAAACTCAGTTGATCTCGCAACTTACTTGATCGTATTCACTCAAAGCCACAATAAAGATAATTGCTGTGACATCTTCGAAACAATGAATCCATTTCTTTCGTTCAGATCGTTGACCACCGACATCAAATACTCGAAAGTTCAAATCTAAACAAGAAATTTGACTTTTTCTTCCAAGAAAATCTTTCTTTTGTACCTTTGAAGGTGAAATTAATTTCAACAATACCAGTTGTTTTAACTCGTGTACGAAGAATATCTTGTGTACTTGGTAAATAATTCGGTGAACCGATTTCATCTAGTTTATCCAAGAAATATTTTGCTGAATCATTCAATTGATATTCATTTGAACGATTAAAACACGTTTGAACACCATTGTCATTCCATAATTTCTTCATTGCATCAAGTAATTCACTTTCAAACGGTTCCGTATCGGCCATACGAGATATTTTATCCAAAACTAAAAAAGAAATTTTCAGAAAAATAACAACAAATGTTCAATATTTACCCATGGCGGCGTCTCGTTCGCGATCAGTCGAACCAAATTGAATATTTAATGTTTCCATGGCGCGAATAATTGTCGCTAAAGATTGAATCGTGTTTGAATAGACAACTTCACGGTATTGTTCAAAATCTTCTTTGGAATATCCATCCATATGAATAATTTTCATTTGTTTTAAGATTGTTGATTTACCAGATTCACCAGCACCTGAACCAAATTCATCGAATTCGAGAAATAACAGAACAATTCGTCGTTCTTACCGAGCAGTAGTAATTTAACATCTTTGGCCGCTCGTTCCGCATCTTCTTTTAATTGTTTATCTAAGGCTTTACTTCGTTCCATGGCTTCCCGCTCTTCCGAGCTCATGCCAGACGCACAAAGGCCCATTTTTGATGGAAGTAATTTTTTACGCAACTGAAACAAAATGTCAAGTAGAATTTGAAGTTCTTTTTCACGCGAATCAAATTGGATAGGAACAAATATTCTATCTTGACAGATGATTTTATTGTACTCTATTGTACGTAGCAGCGCGTCTTAGTAAAGAGAATTAGAAAGAAAAACGGATCCGGATAGCAATTAACGGCCTCGGAACTCGAACAAGCTACGTTTCCGGAGAAAAATTTTCGGCTAAAGAAATATTAGATCAGAGTCTAAAGGGAACAAATCGAAAAAAAGCTTTTTTTTTTTCTTTTCTCTCCAGTAGATATGTCACACATCGATCTGTTATATCCACATTGAAATCATGACTTCAACCAGAAAATAAATAATAACATCTGAACAGAACTTTTCCTTTCCTTTGTCTCTTCGAAATAAAATATTTCTCCTCATATGAACTATTTTTAATGAAAAAAAGAATCAAAGAAGCGTATGCGTGCATTGTATCTATATATATATATATATATATATTATTTGACAGATATGTTGAGCAAGAACAGAAACATTTTCTTTATCTGTTCTTCTATTTTCTTTACTCACCATATTCAGTTGTTCTGTTGATAGGATAATTTTGAACACGAACAGAGAAAAAGCTGGTACACGGTGTGAAAGCGTTCTCGTATAGTTAACTCATTTTCTTGAAATGCTTCCGTTATGTGTTAACCCGATGGAACATTCCCGTTTTTTACCCTTCAAACAAACGCGCATTCAGTTTTTCCTCTTGTTCTTCTTCTTCTTCTCGTCATTTCGCCTGCTCGAGTTCTTGCCGTTTTTTCTGTTCTTTTTTATTATTTACTGTCGGACTAATTCCGCACTCAGCGTTTTCTTCCCTTCTGCAGCTATCATTGTTCCATGAAGAAAAAACAAGACTAGATCTACTATGGAAACTCCAAACATAAAAAAACATCATTTAATACTCATTAATTTCGCTGAGTATGATCAGTGAGATATACGAGGAAATCATTTACTGGAAACAAAAGCAAAAATGAACTCAAAGAAACATGATTTGTTGAATAATTGATCGATTTTACTGAGTAACGTAAAGGGAAACGAGTTCATTTGATGATTTTCATCAGAAAGAAATGTATTACCTGGATCAAAAAAGGATTGAATAAAAGAACTATAGATGATTGCTTGACGATAAAATTAGACTAGATTAATTGCTATTGAATACTAGACATATAATAGAACAAATAAATAGAAACAAAAACGAAGAATTAACGAGTTTGCTCTTACCAACCGTTTTCACATGAGAAAAACATGATTTGTTGGGATTATCTTCAATAAAGTTCTTCTCTGAAAAAATCCAACGTAAAATCTCAATTTTCTGATAATGAACTAAATATATTGTTGATGCTTTTTAATCAAAGAATGGAAAAAGAGACGAAGAGAGAAAAGAGAGAGAGAAAAAAGAAAAGGGAATTACTCTTGCCCCTTTTTTGTTAGCAGTCATAGAAGAACTAATATTGTTGTTGTTATTGTGTTGTGCGTCGTCGCCTACTCCTATTCTATGCATTCTATAACGATAGATAGAGAGAGAGCGAGAGAGAGGGGAAAGAATAGCCTTCTTTAGTACTGGTGAAACGTTTTTTTGCGGAAAATTCTTTCTTTCTTTGGACTCCACCAATAAGCAATGCTTTTTCTATGAACTGTTCGTGTTCGCCCGTTTGCTTGTGGCAATTTTTTTTCCTATTCTTCTTTTTTTTTCTTCGTTGGATGTGTAATAGAGTAGATAGTAGTTCATATTGGTCGTCGGTCGAGTAACAGCTGCCGGCGAGCTATCCTCGCTTCTTCTCTTTCTCCCGCAGACACCGCTTTGATACCGTCTATCTGCATTTTTTTCTTTCTTCGCGTTTTTTCTTGTCAGCAGGCAATGAAAGCGGACGAACGGATGGGCGGGTAGCACTAGTACGATGATAGAATTTCTTCTTCATTAATGTGATTAGCCTGCTACTGCTCGTCGACGACACACGGCGTTCCCCTCGACTACTATCGTCGAACAGGCAACGCGTTCGAAGATAAGAGACATGATGATGATGATGATGATGCCAAAGAGAATATCATTGGCATCAATAGTGAATAAAAACTAATAGACGAAGAAGAAGAATAAGAAGAGGAAAAAAGCGAGGAAGAAACATGCACTTACAGACGGGTAGACATGTAGTCAATGCAACCAAAGAAGATACTGAAATAAACACTGAGAACAACAACAAGAAGAAGAAGAAACAAGATTATCTGAGCGAGGAGATTTGTCATTGGTGAATACGAATGAATAATATCCTAAAAATCATTCAGTTCACTTTTCAATCCATTGCTTTAATCCTAAAAGGCAAATTTCTTGTTCATTTTTATTACACTCTATGAAAAAAAGGCCCGACAAGTCGAGTCGTTGACAACGAACCTAATTCAACAAGTGAAAAAAAAATTTCAATCTCATGGTTAGATACGTACATTATGGGAGTTGGAAGCAGATGTTCGATTTCATCTGATACTCTTAAGGAGAAAAAGAAAAAAGATATCTCCTTCATGATTAATTCTATTTGAAACACAAAGCAAAGATTTTCTTATGTTCTCCTTCTTCAAGATTTCATCTAATCTTTCATACCCGAAAGAAATATTGTCATCAACATTATTCGTCAATCCAACAAGTTCCTCACACGTACTTTCGTCCAAGATGAATATTGACATGCTTTAAGGACAAATTAGTTTAGGTTTTTTCTCTTTCTTATGAATATCAATGATGAGATTGACATGCATCAATGATAAACATTATTTTAATTCAATCGAGTATCTTGTTTTCGATGTTCTTGAAAAACAATCAATCTTGACAAGATTTCTACGTCGGAAAAATATCTTTAGACATGAATATAAATAGATCTGTGAGGAAACATTAGAGATTATTCAACACGAACAGTTTTCAATCATAAAAAATACCTTCGTTTTCCCCTCTCTTCAAAACACGCGAGATTTTCCACCCACAGGTTGATGAAATTTCCTTCTAATCAAACTTTTCACCTTGTAATTAAACGTACCGACTAGTGATATGATTTACAAGGTGTAACTGATAGTTAATAGAACACAAGAGAAGAAATTTCAGATTGCTTTTCAATGCGAGATGGGAGTTTTTTTTTGAAGTCAATAAATAAAAGAAGGGCGAATATAAAAAAAGAAAGTTTTCAACGTTGTCGGGTTGCTTTAACAACTTTCCATTTGTTATTTTTCACTGGTTTGATCGCAAATTCGTGTGTAGTATTGAGCAGATGTACCATGGTGTCGTAAGCACGTCGTTTGGCATCGTTTTTCTTGGAATCCCAAACGTAGGCTAACATTAAATGACCATCGAGTAAAAGTGAGAAGTACCATTGTTTTTTCGTTCCAATTTTCCGTTCTCGAGCTGTTTCCGTTATGGAAATTAAGGGAGGAATATTTAAAATCGAGGTTATTCGAGAATATTCTTCGCCGACACGGATGCCATACGAATAAAAACGATGTTGAAGTGTACGAATTTGCGTATGAAATGGACGTTGATCGACACGCCAAGCCGCGCTGAATGAAAATTAGATGTAAAGAACTTTGTTTTTTTCTTTCGAAATTCTTCACTTTTACCTTTCTTCTTCGTCTGTAACATCGGATATCGCTCCCAATTGTGATGCATGATCAACGGGTGCACGACGTTGACGAGCTTCGTGTGGGTAATCATCGATACCCGTAGTTGTCCCTGTCGGGCTCACGGCTTCAGTACTATTTGATAAATAGCGTTGATTTAATCGACAATCATCAAGTCTCATTTGATCAAATGTATTCTATACGACAATCTCAACAACAAAATAAAGAAATTTCATTGAATTTACTGTAAGGTTGTGTGTAATAGATGTGGAAGGATATTGACGAGTCATGGCTGCATGACTTACTGATGGTGTTGATTCTAGAATGAAAAAGAAAATGAAAATGAAAACAGATAAGTAATTGATTTACGTATTGAACTTTGTCCAAATGATGCTGGTGCAACTGATTGAAGGATATCATTGAGATTTAATGGATCATCACAGATCGGTGCAGCTAGATATAAAAAAAGAAGAATATTGAACGAGATAGAGAAATAAACATTCTCACCATCAGACAAGGACATTGTGTCCCATTTATTATTGATATTTTGTGTTAGTGTTGGTAAAAGAAGACGCGCATCATTCAATGCAGGTGGCTGAACTAGTCGAGGAGGTGTTCCAATAGTTGGTGACATATCTAAATCTAGAAGATTTGTTTTCAAACAAATCAACAATGTTGAAACCTACTTTGATGTAAAATAAGGTTTACATGATACATTTCGCATTGAGTCACAGCTGACACCATCGATTTTTGCATGTAAGTTGCAGCAAGATGACGAATTATTGGTGATTCATGTCTAAATTTCGAACAAAAATAGAAGATTTTGATAATCTGAAAATCTTACGTTATGGAAACGGTTAATTTCGACGATAATTTCACCACCGGTGATTCACATGAAAGTGTGACCATACATCGATATTGATGACGAAGACATCGAATAAAATAAGCCTAAAATTCGTCAATAGGAATTGATTTAACTTTCCAAATATTCTTCTCACCAAATTCTCAAAGACATAATTCGGTACATTGTATCCTTTAATTCCATCGAAAACATATCCCGTAATAACTGTTGTTTGGTACTAAAATTAAAATTCTCACATAAAAATGATTGATGATACTGGACATCTTACTCCTTGCTCGATGATACTCCAATTTCCTTGCCCAAGATTATTTTCATCACATTCACGTTCTCTTGATAAAAATGTTGTTACACATCGTTTAAATGCTTTGAAAACAAAATATCACAAATAAAAAGACTCTTCTTTTTCTTCAAAGTTTACTCTCAAATGAAAATGCATCTTGAGTTGTTACATTTAAATGAAGAGGTCTTTTATGGTCAAGCAATTGCCTTAATTCAGCTGGAATATAAATTCCATCAAGACGAATCGATACGGCACAATGCTGATCAATCTAAAACAAATCACCAAACTTTTTCACTTTTCAAATCATGTAATCGACAATACAAACGTAATCAAGAGCTTTGGCTGACAGTAACTTGAACTTGTCCTTGTCCGACAGACTGTTGATATCATACTGAAAGAAGAAAAAAAAAACGAAAGTGAATTTCAGGAAAAAACCCGATGGGTAAGGCTATTACAATATGAGTTTCTCTCAATGACATCGACGACGGAATATCTCCGGATGCACGATGTGAGGAGTTTATGGAATGCATGACTAAAAATTCTAAACAAAAAAGAAATCTCGGTGTGGACTTCTAAAGCAAAGAAAATATTTACTCTGATCGAGACTGGACTGGTGATAAGTAAAAGATGAAGATGTAAACAGATGTTGTTTGGGTGATTTCTCTTCAAAATCGAAGATAAACAAGAGTAGATTCGAGTTTCAATAATCATAGACAACTTGTCACTGTCACTGGAAGTGATCGAGCGGCGAGTTAAAAGTAAAAAATGGTCAAAAAAGACGAAAAACAAAAAAGGAAAAGAGAGAAATAAAACTTTAGAGAGGAAAAAAACGACCGTTCACTAACTGAATATATGAATCATCATGGACAGAACGGTTACGATTTTCTGGGCATATATGTGATCTAACTGATTCCTTTTCTGTTTGCACTCGGCTATTTGAATACGATCGAGAATATGACAACACGAGTGCAATCATCCACTGGACATCTATCCAGGGTAAAACCATTTGAATTTAACGATGTGATAACACATAGATACATGCAGTAAAAAGCCATTTGAATCAGGAAGAAACAGAATAGGTCGAAAGGACGGTGAGGCACAAATTTGAAAAAAAAAACGATTTTACAAGACAAAGTCATTTCAATTCGAATTCAACAAGATAAATATCAATCTCGTTAAATCTGATCGGAGATTTTTCAGGATGTGAGCCGGTGGATAGAGATTATTTTGTGGTCATCGACGTTGTCGAAAGTCACGCACTACGTCCACGTTGTTTTCTTCGAGAGATTCTTTTCGAATCAACTGAATATGCAGATAAAGCAGTATGATCCTTTTATTCAAATATAATCATGAAATATCTTCGATTATTAGTTGAATAGTTTTCTTTTTAAGATTATTTTATATTTGTAGGAACAGTGAGATAGTGAATTTTGGAATTTTCATGAGATCGAGATAGAGAATGACATATTTTCAACTTTGTTCCTGCACGTTTGAATGGACCTAATCCTTTTTCATGTGCAGTTATCGGCTTTGGTGGAATTGCTTTCGGTCTGGGATTTGGATCAAAGAAGCTTAGAATCAAATGAAGATTGGTTTTGGAATTTTCAAATTGATCACCAGACTGTTCAATTTTGACTTTGATTTGTCGTCGTGTGATGTTAAGTACGGGAAAACGTTGATTTAAATGATGAACGAGATGTGATAGATTCGACATTGAATTGTTTGTATGAAACATGAATAAAATCGAGGAACGCATCGATCCTGAATGATCATGCACAGCTTGTGGGAAAATGTTTTCGAAGAAGTTTTCGTTTAAACCCGAACATGAAGTTTCCGGACGCGATGGGAATGTTTGGTAAAGTCGAAGACGAAAACGAATTGATTCACGAGTTACTGGATTGGAATACGGTCGACTACAAAATCGAAATAGATTACATTTTTATATCAAAACTAGTTCACATACATTTTGTCAAGCTTCGAAATACATTTACTTTGTTTTACATCGTTTTCGATATAATCACCGATACTTCTCAATTGAATATAATCTCGAACGAATGGCGAAGCATTAGATTTAGTTAAAAGAATTAAACCAAGATCGTATCGACCAGAATATATCGCTAAATAGAACTGAATGATCAATATATTGATTTCAAATGAATATCTTACCCAACAGTAATGGTGTAAATCCAAAAGTATTTCTTTGATCGACATCAATTCGAAATTGATTCATTTTTTCGATTAATTTCTCGAGTAATTCTGTATTTTCTCTTTCGCTGTATACAATGACATAATGAACAATTGTGTTTCCATGTCGATCTTTTGCCCGAAGATCGATATCCATTGCAATGTCATTTAATAACAAATCAAATAGTTTGTAACGTCGACATCGAAGTGAATACATGAGAACATTACAACCAAACTCATCGCTTCGATTGAGCGCGGATTTACAGCGAGAAGTAGCCGAGATTTTCATTGATTGATACGCAAATTTTTCATTTGGATGAAAACATAATTGAATTGGTATCGGAAAATGTTTGACGTCCGCATACAATGGATTCATTATTGATGATTTCTGATCTAATCTGTTAAAGTGAAGTTCAATTTTTAGTTTACCTGAACATCATCGGTATTCATTGCGATCTATTACAAGAAAAAGAGAAAAGTGTATATAAAGTTCCTGTTTCTTTCTGTTTGTCCTCGTTTGCATCGGGTTTGTTAAAACTCGTTAAGTATTCATGAAAAAAACGGCACGCGTTGATTAATTTTTAAATATGTCAACGTATTTTTTTCTTAGTTCTTCAAAAAAAATCGAAGGTAAATAAAAAAAATCTTGTGTCAGTTACTCGCGATGTTTTGACAAGCAAATTAAAATGAAGAGTATAGTATTATACAATTTTAAATGGATGGAAATCAATTCACTTGAGGGTATTGACAGAAACGAAAAAAAGATGAAATTTGACAGGTAATGGGTTGTTTTCAAAATAATAATATGTCATTTTAACAAAACGAACATAACTTACAATCAATTGACACAAAATTTATCGGTTTCATCATTGTCGAATAGAAACTCTCGACGAAGAAGAGTTGTTCATTTTGATTCTCTTTGAAGGATTGCTGTCAAAATGTGGAACTGTTACAACGATGTAGGCAGAACAAAACTACACGGAGAGGGGGGGGGACATTGTCCCCTTACAGATGTTTTTGTTGGCGGATAAAACTACGTGAATGAAAATATGTCATTTCATATGAATTGCTTTCCACTTTCTTCCAGTATGATAACCGATACAATACAGAAAATGTCGATCAATATATGTTAACTGCCAAACATTTGGTCAGAAAGAAAAAAACGGATTTCTATCGAATTCTTATTAATCGACTATCATTTATTTTGGAAAAACAACAAAAATTCCAATACATTCTGATTGATAATATTTGACACAGTGATTTTATGTTTATCGATATACAACAAGATTGACATTGATCATGAGTAATTGACTTTCATATAAGACAACATCTACAAATTTTCAAACTGGATTTGTCTTTAGTTTGTCCAAAACTGCTTGGTTTCCTTGATCGTGACGACGGAAAAACGACGACATCATACGATTGTATATATGAATTAATTTCAGATATTGATTGGACAATGATTCACAATCACATGATAATGATGCAACAACATAATCCTAAAAGAAAACTTTGATGAACAATTCTTGACTTGAAAGATTTTCCAAAATGCCATTCATCCTCCATTCTTTTCGTGTATATACAGGATAGAATGATCTCCATGGATACTTTGATCGAAGAACTTGCGTCTCAGAACAATATTCTTAATGCTTAACAGATTACCTATGAAAAGTTCTTTATAACACTAATGAAGAGAATTTGACGAGTTTTAGACTTTGTCTTTTCGTTTCGTTCTTCGTAGTGTTGAGTTTGGCTACTAACAACACTTTCTTAACTTCGTTCTATTAGATTTCATAGAGCTTTTCAGCATAAAAATTGGCTCTATGAAGTAGTAGTACAACGATAATTGCAATTCTTTGAAAAAGTTCAGAATTACTTCTGAATTCCAAGAAAAGCTGATGAAGATCATCTATTTCGGACTTATTCTGAAATGATCATAATTTATTCAGGCGAATAAAATTTGTTTAATAAGTGATCTCTTCCATCATTCCAATAGTTTTAACAAGAGAAATCTGCAATACGAACTCTTTCGTTTCATCATAAATCCGTTTGTTCGCTTAACACAGAATGGAGATTTCATTTTGGGTGCATCAAAATACCTAACTGGAAAAAGAATGACTCAGATAAAGTACTTCAGTATCAAAGGAGGATTGTTATCATCTAAAGAATCAAACGAATATGAAAAGTATTTGAATACACTCTAAAAAGGAATTTAAACTGAATTATAAGAGAATCTTTCATTCAGTGTTGAATCGTAACGGGGGTGCAGTGCTTTGTATGCATTTAGAATGAACAAAAAATGCATACTACGAATATATGAGCGAAATGAATAAGTAAAAAAAAGAAATAAGAAAATAAAATACCTTTATCTTGTTGTCAAAGATCAATCTGTCAACACTTTCTTGGAGTGTACCAGAATAGAGCTTGACCAATATGACCAACAATAATATTAATGCAATAATGCCGATACAACTCATACTAATACCCAATGTAACATCGCAACGGTCGACTTCATTTATTAGGAAACATTTCTATATAAAAGAATGTATAAAAAGAAATCAGTCATTGTTAACATCATTTTCGGATAGATTTTCTTTACGTTCCTTTCATACTTCTTCGATAAACAAATTCTGAGCTGAAAAACTTTTTTTAAACATTCGAGAGTACACTTCTTGTGACAATTGTTTTTATTGCGAAAACGTTCGGTAACTTACAAATTTGAGTGTTTTGTGGGCAATATACGAAAGATACAACTTCATTAAATGTTGACTTGTTCTTTCTCGAACATATTCATATTTAAATGTAGTTTTAATCAGTAAATAAAAAACGACTCATAAAGAAATATCTCTTTGTTAACATAGAAATCATTCATACATACCGCTACATCAATGCCCTTTTTTTAAACCGAAAAAGGATAACACAACGAAACTGATAATAATTCCAATGAGTGTTAGTATATCCATATATTTACGTTGTTTTATGTATCGATCTTCATCATAGATGCTTGCTTTTTCCTTTAAACAAAAAATGAATCACAATAGATAGTACAGTTACAAACAGAGTTGCTCCAGCTCAGTTTCTTGATGTAATCTAGATCGGTTCGTTGAAAATTTACATTGTGATGATAGTTGTGTCTTCGTTTACGAAAATATTTTTTGAAGGAATTCTAACTGTAACAATATCTATGATCATAATAATTGCATATTTTGTATAAAGAATGCTATTCGTACTTAAAGGAAACGCGATAAGGTGTAATGTCATCAGCACAACAATTTCTTTCATGAAAGATTATCACATTAACGTACAAGATAATAAACATAAATGAGCTATATTCTTTTTCAAATACCATCATCACAACAGATATTCCAAGAGAATTGAAATTTACCTCAACAATGTTCTAACATTGAATCCTATTTTATACAAAGAAAACTCAAATATCTTCATCTATATGAATATGACAATCATATGCAATTCTTTCATTATGAACATCATTTAACGACACATATAGCAACTTGCCTAACAAAACTCTCTCATTAAGTAAAAACATTATTAAACGCTTTACTATGTCGAATTTTAATTCTACAAAGATTGTCATAAGATAATCAAACTATATATACATAGAGTAGAATTTTCAATACACTTACAGTTGTATCATATTTGCTTTGAAAAATC